CCACCTCTTGCCCTAGCCCATTTGGCACAGTGGATAGAGCGATGGGCTCCAAACTGAAAGGTCCCAGGTTCAATTCCAGTCAAGGGCACATGCCCAGGATGTGGGCTCAATCCCCAGTGGGGAGGGGGGTGCAGATGGCAGCCAATCCATGATTCTCTCTCATCATGGATGTTTCTATCTTTCTCTCCCTCTTCCTTCCTCTCTGAAATCAATAAAAATATATTAAAATTTTTTTTAAAAAAACCACCTCTCCTATTTTATTTAAATATGCCTCCATGTAAGATTTCTTCTGCATACAAGGAATGTATACAAGATTCCCATTGCCCATCATGACACTGCCTTCTACCCAAGCCAAGGCACACCTGCCTCATCAAAGGAAACTCTAAAGGAGGTACTATATGCATGAGGACAGTGATCCCAGAAATGAACACCAAAGCAAGTGAAAAGTGAACAATAGCTACATAAAATAATAATATGTTTTAGTGGTTAAAAGTATAATCAAAAGACATAATCAATAACATGTAAGTCTGAGGATGGAGTGTTAAATAGAAAAAAAATGTTCTATAGTTCTTGTATTTTCTGAAAGAACAATGGTATCCTATCTAATAAAAAGGAAATATGCAAATTAACCATCACTCCATCACAAAGATGGCGGCGCCCATAGCCACAAGATGGCGGCGCCCAGTCCCCTAAGCCCTGCTGCTAGAGTGTCCGGTCCTGTCAGCCCCGCCGGGGGGAGCGGTGGCTGAGCGGCACAGCTGGATCCACCCTCAGGCGATGAGCCCCAGCGTCCCGTGCGCCCCCGCCCACGGAAGGAGGGAGGGCGGGCAGGAGGGCCTCTGGCCAGAGGCCAGCCGGGTCATGGGATGCTGGCGTCATTGCAGGCCGGGCTGAAGGGCCCCCCCCCCCCGTGCACAAATTTCGTGCACTGGGCCTCTAATCTCTATATATAAAAGTCTAAGTGACTAGCCCAGGGGTGGGCAAACTTTTTGACTCGAGGGCCACAATGGGTTCTTAAACTGGACCGGAGGGCCGGAACAAAAGCATGGATGGAGTGTTTGTGTGAACTAATATAAATTCAAAATAAACATCATTACATAAAAGGGTACGGTCTTTTTTTTTTTATGCAGGCCAGGCTGAGGGATCCCTCCCCCCCGTGCACAAATTTCGTGCACTGGGCCTCTAATCTATATATATAAAAGTCTAAGTGACTAGCTGATTGGCTGAATGTTTGACCATCTGACTGGTAACTATGACACACACTGACCACTGGGGGCAGATGCCCACCACAGGAGCTGCCGAGCTGCGGTGACTTGGCAGCTGCAGTTCTCAGGTGACACACCCAGAAACAGAGAGGAGGGAGCCCGATTCCAGGGTGCATCACCTGAGAACCACCCCCTCACAATCCGGGACCCCTCGGGGGATGTCAGAGAGCTGGTTTCTGCCCTGTCCCCGCAGACCAGGTTGAGGGACCCCACTGGTGCACGAATCCATGCACTGGGCCTCTAGCCATTGGCTCCCCACTTCGGATCTGGCTCCCCACCAGGCCTCTAGCCCATGGCAGAGGTCATGGGTCTGGCCCTTACAAAAACTGTTTGACTATATTAGCTAAATGATGAGACGTGCAGGACCTACTGGCTGAGGCCCTGACATCTGGCATCCTTGCTGGCCCATCCGCTTAATATCGATTTCCAGTGGAGGCAGCGAATGTTTCCACTACCACTCTCAGTTGTGAAACCGGCCATGGCTTCCCTCCTTCTGGGCAGACAGTAGTGCCAGCAGGCAACCTCTGGGGAGGGAAGGAGGTGAAGGAGCAGCTCAGGTGAGAAGAAGGAGGTTCCGGCCACCACAGGACTCTGCCTGGGTGGAAGGGCCTGGGCGGGAGCCTGACATTGAGAAGGAGGTTCCGGCCAGCACAGGACTCTGCCTGGGTGGAAGGGCCTGGGCGGGAGCCTGACATTGAGCAGGGTCCTGCCCTAGGCCGACTAGGTTCCAGGATAAATAAGTCCTGTTTGCTAAATAATTGCATTTTGCAGCTAAATGCCCACAAGTCGTCAGTTACTGCCAAACTTAGGGGAAAGTGAGATAAAAGAAGCAAGACAGTTACAGAGAGAAAGTGACATAATATTGTGAGAAGAGAGGAGGTAGCCCAATTCTGGGGTGCATCACCCGAGAACTGCCCTCTCGCAATCTGGGACCCCTCGGGGTGGGGGGGAGAGCCGGTTTTGGCCCGATACCCGCAAGACAGGCTGAGGGATCCCACCAGTACACAAATCCATGCACTGGGCCTCTAGTTGAAATATATTTGAACATTAATGAGATAATATCGAAAATTTCAATTTCTAGGGTAATCCCTAAAAGAACAGAAAATGTGAGCAGAGGAAATAAATTCTTTAGATGTTTCTTCTTCTATTTGATTTCATATTTATAAACAATTTGTTATATGTTTATAGGGCTATTTTATCAGTTTTAGACACTATCTAATTAAGGTTTATGTTACCTGACACTTTTATGTTATTAACACATCATTTTCCCTTTTCACATCCTCCCAATATAGTTGTATCATAGTTCTGATGTAAATCAGAATTCAGATCTAACATTATTATGACTATATAAATCAGTGATGGCAAACCTTTTGAGCTCGGCGTGTCAGCATTTTGAAAAACCCTAACTTAACTCTGGTGCCATGTCACATATAGAAATTTTTTGATATTTGCAATCATAGTAAAACAAAGACTTATATTTTTGATATTTATTTTATATATTTAAATGCCATTTAACAAAGAAAAATCAACCAAAAAAATGAGTTCGCGTGTCACCTCTGACACGCGTGTCATAGGTTTGCCATCACTGATATAAATCATTCCAGTTGCTGACCACAGTCCATTGAAATTGCATTTCTTTTCTTATCTTTTTGTCTATTTTTTCCTATAATAATAATGGCCTTGACTTTATTTTGCATGGTTCTCTATTACTTATCTCTCATTCTTCACAAAAAAAATTTAAAAGCAATTGGTTCTGGAGATGAGAATTGAGGAATGCCATTTAACAAAGAAAAATCAACCAAAAAAAAATGAGTTCCCGTGTCACCTCTGACACGCGTGTCATAGGTTCGCCATCACTGATCATTCCAGTTGCTGACCACAGTCCACTGAAATTGCATTTTTTTCTTATCTTTTTGTCTATTTTTTCCTATAATAATAATGGCCTTGACTTTATTTTGCATGGTTCTCTATTACTTATCTCTCATTCTTCACAAAAAAAATTTAAAAGCAATTGGTTCTGGAGATGAGAATTGAGGGTAGATAGGAATTTGGTTGAATTTCAAAATATTTAATAACCATAACATAGAGACACCAATTAATCCAATATTATCTGTCCATAGCCATGCCGCAGTATACCCACTGAACATGAGTCCTGGGGGAATTTGGAAGGAAATGGTAGGGTGGGAAATGGCTATTGTTTTGTTACAAGCCTTTGAGTACTATCTGAACTTTTCAATGATATGTGTAGATGCTGTCGAGTAAAAATTAAAATTAATTTAAAAAAATGAATACATTTGGTTATATTTAGTCCTTAAACCTTAGCAGATCTAGATGAAGCTGAAGAATTCACTAAGTGACATGTATAAAAGGCTACCAAGTACTTGAGCAAAAGGCCATAGGGGGTAGAATGTTTCTGCTGTGTAACAGAACTGTTCAACAACCCAGGTGCTTACTTTCTAACAAATAAATATTTCGCCTCTGATTAGAGCCAAAAGCTGAATAAAATACATCAAATTCTTCTAGGCAAAATGAATTGAACTAAAGAGAAAAGGCAGTTGTCCTCTTGAGGAAAATGTTAACTAATTGCACCCTATTAGATGTTAATTTGCAACAGGTGCTGTTTAAATGTAATGTAGTATCATCCTTATATTTAATAAGGTCTCTGAGTTGAGAGTCCCTGTGCCAAATTTTACACAAATTCATTTAAATTGGACGGAGTTTCTATGCCTCCCACAAAACAAATAAAGATGGACATGCTATTTAGTAACTATAAGGGACACTACATTAATTATCTTTCTTAATTTTCCTCCAGAATCACTTTTGTCAATAATACTATTTCAACTAAGATGAATGTGAGGCCAGGGCACTAGGTGTAAGCAGCAGGCCTCTGACAAATTGGTTTGGGGACTAGTCCTGAGATTAGTTCATGAAACTATGAACTAAAGGAAAGGTGTCTTCCTTTATTTTAAAATGTATTTCTTTTTTGAAAGTATTTCAGCTGTCCCCTTTCCCTCCCATTAACCCCCTCCTCCCCACTCCTAACCCTCATGGTATACAAACATACAGAAATGAGAAGCCAATAATTATTCTTAACATCAAATTCAATTTGGAAATAGAGTATTTATGAATATGAAAACTTTTATGGTTCTCAGTAAAAAAGAGCCTTTGTGTGTGTATGTGTGTTTTTTAATGGATTATTAAAATGAAGTTTTCCTCATCTGGAGTTTAAGGGCAAAGACTTGAGGCAAGACTTAGAAAGAAAATTTCAGAAATAAAAAGATATAATTTAAAACAATATGGAGTTTGCTATAGAAAACTATTAAAACTGAATGTCCATTGATAATGGAAATAAATTAGGAATGTGAGTTACAAAATAATACAAAATTATTAAACATTAAATTATTTCATTCAATAGATCTTTAAAAGAGTGATTGGAGATAGAAAATGGCAATGTCATG